CACATGAAGACGCACGACGGGGGCAAGGACGGGGGCGAACCCGAGGTCAAGGGCTCCGGGGACCCGTCGGCCGGCAAGGGAGGCAAGAGGGAGTCCGAGGGGGGTAACGCCGCCCCAACAAACTGAGCCGCTGAGCCCCGGGGTGGGGGGGACACACACGGATGGAGGTGGTGGGGACCAGGGGGGACCCTTTGGGGCCGGTCTCTGAAGGGTTTTGGGGTGTGTGTGTGGAGGGGGTGGGGGGGCGCAGGGCTGGCACCTTGTGCTCGAAGCAGTGGCGAGGGCGGGGTGGGGGGGGGACAACCCCGTCCCCCGCTGCGCCGGTGCCGGTTGGGGAGCGCCGGAGCTGCCCCGCGGCGGTTTCACTTGTCCCGCTCCCGCTCTCCCGCCCTGGTTCCCCCTCTGTCCTCCCCCGGCTTCCCAAATTTTTTTTTTTTTTTTTTTTTTTTTTTTGGGAGGCTGCTGTTTGGGAGGAACATCAATGGGAGCCGAAGGAGCCGGCGCTGCCCGGGCACGTCCAGCCCAAAGGGGAGGAAGGAGAAGGAGAAAGGGAGAGAGAAGAAACCCGGGAGCCTTTGCTCGGGGAGGGCGGCTGCAGCCCCCTGGCCCCCTCCCCCGGGGTCCCCCCCAAATTGTTGGCATCCTGGGCTCAGCCTCCTCCATGCCAGCCCCACATTTTAGCCACCCGTGAGGTTTAGGCACCCTCAGGGGGGCACTGAGGGGGTGCCTGAGGATGCTGGGCTGGGCTGGCTGGGGTCCCGCATCCCTAGAGCGCCGCTTTGGCTTGGGGGTGCGAACCTCCTTTTTTTTTTTTTTTTTTTTTTTTTTTTTTTTGGCCCAAATGGAGGCTGAAATAGGCAAAAAAAAAAAAAAAAAAAAGAAGTCCTGCTTGAATGTGAGCCGGGGGGGCGTGGGAGGGGGGTGGCCCTGGGTGGGGGGGGTGCTGCGGCGGGCGCGTGGCGCGGCGGCGGGCGGTTGCCCAAGCGCACACCTGCAGCTTTCCCACACCCACCGCCGCGGCCCCGGGCGGGAAGCACACGGGGCGGCCGCGGTCCCGGGAGAGCCGGGGCGGCCGCATTCCTCCGGCCTGGCAGTGCCGAGCTGCCCGCCGCCCCGCGACCCTCGCCTTCCCCCCCCGCCCCGCCCCACCACCTCCCTGGAGACCCTGTGACTACAGGGATATCCCTCCCGGGCATGCTGCCTGTCCCCTAGAGACCCCCGTTGCCGTCCCTCCCTGGGGACCCCACCGTCGGGGACTGTAACCATCCCCCTGCGTGTGCTACAGGTCCCTTGGGGACCCCCTCTCCCCAGGGGACCCCCGCTGTCCCCCCATGCATGCTGCCTGTCCCCCTGTGGCCCTGTAGCCGTCCCTCCCCGGGATCCCATATCTCCAGGGGACCTCTGCCTGTCCCCCTGTGCATGCTGCCTGTCCCCCCCGGGGACCCCATAGCTGTCCCTTCCCAGGTCCCTGTATCTCCCAGGGACACCCCAGAGCATGCCCCACCAGGGACCCCATATCTTTCCTCCCCTGGGGTCATCCCCTTTCCCCAGGGGACCCCGTATGTGTCCTTCACCCCTGGCTGGCGGTTCATGAACTCGGTTTTCAGACCTTTTGGGTCTTATCCCCCCGATTTTGGCAGAACCCTTTGGACACAGAAGGAGACGCAGAACCTGGGACCTGGGGGGTGGGGTGTTGGGGGGCAGCGCTGGGGCTGGGTGGGATGGGGCTCACAGGCTGCTCGGGGCACCCAGGGCTCCCCCTGGCCCTGCTCCCCAGCCAGCACCAGTTCACACCAGTTGGGAATCTGGGGGAGGGGGGGGGGAGATTTGGGGAGGCTGATCTCCCAGCATGGCCCCCTCCCAGGGGGCTCACGAGGGGCCGTGTCTGGGGCTATGGGGGCTGCCCGGGCTCGGAGCTCCCCGGGGTCAGGGGTGGAGGTGAAGTCAAGTGGGGTCCGTGCCCAGAGGGCGCCCCGAGGCCTTCGGTTTTGATTGTTTTATTATTATTATTAATTATTAATTATTATTATTAATTATTATTATTATTTTATTAAGGTGAAGCCAGGCTTTGCCACTCGGGCAGAGTGGATGTCTCGGGCTGAAGCTGTGGCCGTGGGCCTTATGGATGGGGGGGGGGGTAGGACCCCACAAAGGGTCCCATCCCTGTCCCCATCCCTGTCCCCGTCCCCATCCCTGTCCCCACTGGTGTGCGAGGGGCTGATGGCAGCCCTGCCGCGCCGTGGGGCCAGGGATGAGTGGGGCCAGGGTTGGGCCGTGGGGCTGGAGAAACCCAGCACGAGGTGAAGTCTCGCTGCGGGGGGGGGGGGGGGGGGTGTCTGCGAGGACGTGTCCCCAGCCCCAACACGGCTGCCACCGTCCCGCCGCAGGATTCGGGTGACCTGGGCTGCCTGCAGCTCTCGAAGGACGTCCCCGACTCCGGCATTTGCCTTTTCCAGCACAAAATTCCCCCTCAGTGCCCCCGCTCTGGGATTTCATCTCCCGAGGGTACCCCCGGGGGGGGCTCGGGACCCTTCGCAGGGTGCCACAGGGTCGCACCAGTGCCCTGTCAGATTTTGGTAGCTGACGCCAGCTCCTACAGTGGCCGGGGGCTCTGGGGACCCTGTGCTGCAGCCGCCGGGACTTTTTTAGGGGGGGCTGCACCTGGGGCACCCCAAGGGTGGGCTGAGGAAGGAACGGCCGAGCAGGGGGTCCCACGGCAATGCTGGGGCTCAGGGCTCAGCCTCACCGAGCTGCCCCCCACCCAGCTCAGAGCTGGGGGGCTGCGAGGAGGGGGCCCCCCAGGTGTGCTCTGCCCCCGCCCCCCCCCCTCCGCCCCCTCCCCTCCCCTCCCCGGGGCCCTGCCTGCCGCGATGGGGCAATGAAGGCTGTAAAACCGGGTGGGGAAGGACGGAGGCCGGCTCCCACCCGCCGAAACCAGTCCAGCCTGCTGCGGCGTTGGGGATCCCGGCCCCGCACCCCGAACCGCCGCGTCTCCCACCCCCGAGCCACCTCCCCGGGGCAGGGAGGAACCGGCCCAGGCGGGGGGGGGGGGGGGGCCCCGGGGCGGCCCCCAACGAGCCCCAGCCCCGGGGCAGGTGGGTGGTTGGGGGGGGGGTCGAAGGAAAGCAGGGGACCCCGGGGGAGTGGAGTGGCCCGAGGGGTGCTGCAGCTGGGGGGAGCTCCCCGGCGAGGGGGAGTGTTTGTGCTGTGAAGAGGCTGCAGGGCTGTGGGGTTTGGGGTTTTGTACTGGAATAAACGTTGCGTGTTTTCCACGCCCCGGCTCTCCGACTGCCTCTCTGCCGAGGGACCCCAGTGTCCAGCACCCTGACCCCCACCCATCTCTGCCGAGGGACCCAGGCGTCTGGCACCCCGACCCCCACCCACCTCTGCCGAGGGACCCAGGCATCCAGCACCCCGACCCCCACCCATCTCTGCCGAGGGACCCAGGTGTTCAGCACCCCGACCCCCACCCATCTCTGCCGAGGGACCCAGGCATCTGGCACCCCGACCCCCACCCATCTCTGCCGAGGGACCCAGGTGTTCAGCACCCCGACCCCCACCCATCTCTGCCGAGGGACCCAGGTGTTCAGCACCCTGACCCCCACCCATCTCTGCTGAGGGACCCAGGTGTCCGGCACCCCGACCCCCACCCATCTCTGCCGAGGGACCCAGGCGTCTGGCACCCCGACCCCCACCCACCTCTGCCGAGGGACCCAGGCATCCAGCACCCCGACCCCCACCCATCTCTGCTGAGGGACCCAGGCGTCTGGCACTCCAACCCCTACCCGTCTCTGCCGAGGGACCCAGGTGTTCAGCACCCCGACCCCCACCCATCTCTGCCGAGGGACCCAGGCATCCAGCACCCCGACCCTCACCCTGGCCTCATGCCTCCAGGGCTGCTCGGGATGGGGATGCAGGAGGGTGCTGGGTGGGGGGTGATGCAGGTGGGGACAGCTGAGCCCCCCCCCACCCCCGGGGGGGCCGTATCCTGCACCCCTCTGGCCTGGGCTGCGGTTCTGGGAGGCGCCGGGCGGGCGCCCAGGGTCCCCCCCGCGGGCAGGGCGCTGCCCAGCAGGTCTGCCTGCATACCGTGGGGCGGGCGTGCCGCGTGGGGCGCTTCCCACGCGGGGCGCTGCCCACGCGGGTGCTGCCCTCGGAGGGTGCTGCCCACGGAGGGGTACTACCAACGCAGGGTGCTGCCCATGGTGGGGTGCTGCCCACGGAGGGGTGCTGTGCACGGGGGGGATACTACCCACGCAGGGTGCTGGACATGGAGGGAACGACACACGGGGGGGGCTCCCCACGTGGGTGCTGCCCACGGAGGGGTACTACCAACGCAGGGTGCTGCCCATGGTGGGGTGCTGCCCACGGAGGGGTGCTGCCCACGGGGGGGATACTAACCACACAGGGTGCTGGACATGGAGGGTACAGCACACGGGGGGGGCTGCCCACGCAGGTGCTGCCCACGCAGGGCGCTGTCCATGAGGGTGTGCTGCCCACGCGGGGTGCTGCCCACGGGGGGGATACTACCCACGCAGGGTGCTGCACATGGAAGGTACTACCCACGGGGGGCGCTGCCCACAAGGGTGCTGCCCATGGGTGGAGTACTACCCACGCAGGGTGCTGCCCACGCGGAGTGCTGCCCACGAGGGGATACTACCCACGCAGGGTGCTGCCCATGAGGGGATATTACCCACGCAGGGTGCTGTCCGTGCGGGGTGCTGCCCACGGTGGGGTACTACCCACAGAGTGTGCTGCCCACGAGGGGCTCTGCCTCACGGGACCCCCCCATTCATACCCAGATGCCGTCGTTCCCCCCACGGGGGACGGACCTGGGACACCCGTTCCCGGGCTCCTTTGGGGTCTCGTCCCCCCGCAACCCGCCCCACGGGGGTGCCGGGGCCGGGCCCCCCCCCCCCCCCCCCGCCGCGATGCCGCCGTGCGGCCTCCGGCCACCGGGCGCCGCCGTGGCCCGGGGGGGTGGGGCGGGACGGGGCGGGGCGGGACCGGGCTGTGGCGGCGGTGCGGGAGCAGCGGCAGGTCCGTGGGGTTCCGTGGGGTCCTGGGAAGGGAGGGACTGTGCGGGAGGGGTTCCCGGTTAGTGGGGCTGGACGGGGGGAACATCTCCGATCGGTGCAGAGCTGCGGGGTCCCGGGGCAGGAGGTGCCCCCCCGGGGATGGGTCCCTAGCGTCCCCCCAGATCCAGGGACCCCCCAAAACCCCCCAGGTACCGGTCCCTAAGGGACTGTGGGGACACATGCAGGACAGGGACATGGGATGGGGGGGGGGGGGTGACATCCCCCCTCGGTGTCCCCCTCCCTGTCCCTTCTGCCCAGTTTAGGATGGCGGGGTGGGATCCCACGCCCTCATCCTGCGACTGCTTCGTGGCGCTGCCGCCGCACACCGCGGCGCCCGCCGTCATTTTCGGCAAGAACGCCGACCGGCCGCGTCACGAAGTCCAAGAGATTGTCTACGTCCCCGCCGCCGTCCACCGTCCCGGGGACAAAGTCCAGGTGAGACCGTCCCTTGGGGCCAGGGTGGCTGCAGGGGGTGCACCGAGCGCGCCAGGTCTCAGCCCTACTCTGTGTATGTGTGTCTTCCCCCCCCCCCCCCACCCCCCGACCCCCCAGTGCACCTACCTGGCGATCGAGCAGGCGGAGAGGACCCACGCCGTGGTGCTGAGCCGTCCCGCCTGGCTGTGGGGTGCCGAGATGGGCGCCAACGAACACGGCGTTTGCGTGGGCAACGAGGGCGTCTGGACCCGCGAGCCCCTCGGCGAGGACGAGGCGCTGCTGGGGATGGATCTGGTGAGGTGAGGAACCGCGTCCTGCGTGTGTGTCTGCATCCTTGCTCCGGTCCCGGGCACCCCGCGCTGTCCCCCCACCGGCGGGTGATGGGGTGCTGCCGGCGCGGCAGGCTGGGTTTGGAGCGGGGCGGCTCTGCCCGAGAGGCCCTGGAGGTGATCACGGCGTTGCTGGAGCGCTACGGCCAAGGCGGGAGCTGCAAGGAGGAACCGGTGCCCTTCATCTACCACAACACCTTCCTGCTGGCTGACCGCGCCGAGGCCTGGGTGCTGGAAACAGCTGGCAGGTTCTGGGCAGCCCAGCAGATCCGAGGTGAGCAGGTACTGGTTGTACTGGGAGAACGGGGAACGCTGTCTGCGTCCCCCCCACCCAGAGCTTGACCCCGCTCCGGCTTTCGCAGAGGGCAGCCGCAACATCTCCAACCAGCTCAGCATCGGGAGGGAGATCACGGCCGAGCACCCGGGGCTGCGGCAGCGCGCCCGCGCCCAGGGCTGGTGGAGCGGGGATGGCGAGTTCAGCTTCGCCGAGGTTTTCTCCCTGACGCACCAGCCCGCTCGGATGGAGGCGGCCAAAACCCGCTACCGCGCCGGCAAGGAGCTGCTGCGGCAGCACGCAGGTTTGGGGGGGGGGGGGGACACACACAGGGAACGAGGGATGGGGACGGCCAGCCGTGGGCGAGCTGCCGGCGGGTGACGCGGCTCTGCCTCTCCCGTCAGGTCACATCACGGCGGAGACGTTCATGGCCATCCTGCGGGACAAGGCCAGCGGGATCTGCGTGGACTCGGAGGGGTTCCGCACGGCGGGCAGCATGGTGTCCGTGCTGCCCCAGGACCCCACCTTGCCCTGCGTCCACTTCTTCACGGCCACCCCTGACCCCTCCAGGTGAGGACGCCGGCGGAGGGGACAGCCCCGCTCCGGGGGTGACGGGGGACAAGGCAGAGCCATGCCGAGCTGAGCGTCCCCGGGGAGCCGCATCCCTCCTCGCGCTGGCAGGTCGTCCCAAGGCCCCGGTGCTCCTCTCCGGCAGGTCTGTCTTCAAGCCCTTCGTCTTCGTGGCCGGCCTCAAGCCCACGCCGCAGGTGAGATCTCCCACTTTCCACGACGACCCGGCCAAGCGGATCCCGCGGTTCCAGAGCACGGTCGATCGGCGGCACGAGCTCTACCGCCGGCATCAAGCAGCGCTGGAGCTGATGGAGAGGGACCAGGTACTGCAGACCCTTCCCCAGCTGCCGCTGCCCCGGGACCCTCATGCTGCCGCCGGCAACGTGGGAGGCAGTTGAATTCCCCGAGGGTTCCCGGTCTCAGCTCTCCTCCCTCCCTGACCCCACCAGGAGCAGGGCCAGAAGCTTCTGCAGACGCTGCGGGACCTGGAGAAACAAGGTCTGGAGGGGATGAACGCGCTGCTGGGGGGGACGGTGGCCCCCAGCCCGGAGGAGCTGGCCGACCTCTTCTTCGACTGCGTTGAGGCAGAGATGAAGTTTTACACATAAACCCCACGTAGGTGGGTGGGCTCCTGGATAGGGGATGAAAAAACCTGCCCAGTGCCTGGCCCCAGCTCTTCGCCTCCTCCCACCATGGATCTGCCGCTGATGGCATGCTGAGGAACGGGTGTGGGAGGACGGAGAGGGCCATAGGGTGAGATTTGGAGTCCTGCCCGCAGCCTGGCGTGTCTTTTCCCACCATCAGGCAGAGCTGCCTATGCCCGGCTCCTCTGGGGCTGGCCGTGGGGCTGGGGGCTCTGTGGCAGACAGGCAGGTTGATGTAGGAATAAAGAGGTTTTAATCCCAACCGCGCGGTGCGGTGCTGGTGTGGGGTATTTGGGGTAAGCGCCTATTTCTTGCTCCTTTGGTGCCAGTCTCCTCCTCTGGAGCCTTGGTCCGGGACTGGCTCCCGCTGGGAGCTCGCTGGGGCTGCTGGCAGGATGCTGGCAGGGGTGGCAGACGTGTCCCCAGCTTTGTTTGGGGACAGGGCTGAGACCGCTTGGCTCCTGGGGCCGCGGCGCAGGCGGCTCCCTCCCTGCCGGGGCTCAGCGGTGCGGGGGGCAGCAGCAAACCCCGACGTTCCTGCAGCTCCTCCAGCTCTTTCAGACGGGTCCAGTGTTCCTCCAGGGCCTCCCTCTGCCTCCGCCGTGAGCGCCCGGCCAGCTCCTGGTGCAGATCCGCAAAGAAATCTGCCAGGGATGGAGGGAGGGAGAATTTTACAGGAAATCTGGCACAGCCACCCCAGCTCCCTGCCACTCCTGTCACCCTTGGGGACAGAGGGACCAGCCTGCTTAACCCCAAAGCGTGAAACACGTCCTGCTTTGCTCTGGGAACCTTTGTCTGCAGTGAAAGGGTCGCTTGGCTCAGAGAGCAACTCATTGTCTTCATCCTCGCTGCTGGAAGAGCCGCCTTTCTCCTCTTCCTCGCCCACGCTGCCATGGATGGGCTGGGCATCCAGCTGCAGGAGGTGGGGCAGGGCTCCCACCACCAGCTTTCTGCAAGCACCAAAGGAAAAGCAGACATTGCCCCATCACCTCGGGGCTGGGAGCAGGTTGGGGTGGCACCAAACCGCCCCCCCACACACACTGCACCCCCCTGGCACTGCTCCGTGCAGCCCACCTCACAGCCTGACCTGGGTGGAGATTCAGATTTCTGGGGTTTGAGGGGGGTTGGTGCTCAGGCTGTATTTGATATTTGGGGAAGGCTGTACCCTGCTGAGGGGCTGATGTGGTTTGGGGGACTTGCTCTCCCCCTCCAGTTCCCCCAACTCACCTGTACCCATGCTGGTGGGTGCATTCGTTTCCCGTTAAGTCGAGGAGACGGAGGCTGCGGGGCAGCTCCTCTGCAGAGATCAAAGGGAAGGCACAAAGATGCTGAGATGGGACCTGAGCCCCCTCCCCTGCACCAAACCCCCACACCCCTTGTCTCCCACAGCTCTTCACCCACTCCCGAGGTGACAGCCCTGCTGTGGAAAGCAGTCTCACCTCACAGCTGGGGAAACTGAGGCAGGGAGGGCAGGAATGTGTATTGCACACACTCCTGTGTGAGAACTGAGGGTTTTCCCATTCTCAGGCATTCATTGTTCCCTTTCTCATCCCCATTTTCAAGCAGAAGGCCTGGAGCCACACTAGCTCTCTGTCCCTCCCTCTTCTGCTGAAAAATCACCCACGGGAGGAGCCATCTGGAAGGTGCCTGAAGGGTTGTGAGGGCTGGAGCAGCTTTGCCATGAGGTTGAAATCCCCAAGTCTGATCTGAGCCACTGAAATGTTCTGCCAAAGCAGGACACAAGGTGGAAGCAGATACCTGGCGTCTGCCAGCAGAAGGGAGGGCTCAAAACCCGCCACAGAGCTCCTCTGGTGTCACGCTGGGACATGCATGCCAGCCCCAGGGTGGCTCTGCTGGAGCTCTGGCTGGGACCTGAGGGCCAGAGACCCTGGCAGAGCCTGGACCAAGGGTCTGCCGGCATTTCCCCAGTACCTGAGGCACCTCTTGGGCAGACCCAGGCCACGTCTGGACCCGTTCCTGCCTCCCACCTGGGTCCAGCATCTGTATCTGGTTGTGGGACAAGTCCAGGACGCGCAGATGTTGCAGGGGCTGCAGGTTCTCCACTCTGCGGATGCAGTTTCCAGCCAGGCAGAGGAACCTGCAGAGCACGGAAAGGGCGGTGGTGTGAGGCTGGGGGGGGGACACCATGGCCCCCAGGGTCAGAGCCAGCAGCACCAGGAAGTCAGGGGCTGCAACCTGAACCCTCCCCAGCTCTGCCAAGGATAGGAGGGAGCCCTCTCTGACCATGGAAAAAAATCTCCTTGGGGGCAGGAGTTGCCCGTACCGCAGGTTGGGAAAGCAGCCCAGATTTTCAATCTTCTCAATTTGGTTCTGAGGCAGAGGCGGGGTGGAAAGAAGAAAAAGCAATATTTTTTTTCTACTGCATGAAAAATCAGACTTCAGGATGTCCCTGGGGTTGCTCCAACATCACAGGGGCAACATGATGTCCCACCACTGCCATGGCAGCTTTGCAGAGGGGATATGGGGCTGTGACAGCATGGAGAGCCTGGCAGAGTTCAGGAGGACGCAAAGGCTTCTCACAAGGGTTTGCAAAACACCAAATGGCCAGACCCTCGCTCGAATTATGCTGGTGGCATTGTCATCAGAGGGGAGCACTGCCAGCCCCTCCGGCCACGCGAGGAGGCAAAACTCTGGAGCAGAACTGAGGGTGTTTTGATCTCTCACAGCTGCCATAGGACCTTACCTGCTGCAGGTAGAGGCTGTGAATCTCCCGCAGGCTCTGGCGCCTCCCGATCGCACAGATGTTCTCCCGGTCCAAGCGGACAGTCGAGGGGGACGGCAGCTCCGTAGATCTAGAGGAATAGGGGTGCTAGGGGTGTCCTTTGTGCCCAGAGACCCCTCCCCTGCCAGCCTGGGCGGTGGAGGTGGGCTCTGTGCGGATCCTCACTGGCTCTCTGGGCGCAGGGGCTCCACCGGCCGAGGCTGGCTCCTCGTGGCGATGAGGCTGTCGGTGAGGGTCACCCCCGGGGATGTCAGCTCACAGTCTGTGGGAAAACAGAGTGACGGGGCCCAGGCCAGTGGGGTCCAGCCCCCCCCCTGGCTGACACACCAGCAGGCCCCGCAAATGGCTCACTCACCCCCAAGCAGGGTCTTCTCTGGTTTAGCCATAGCGGGGGGGTGGCCGGTGTCCTTGTCCCTCTCTTGGGCCCTTGGGTGGGTGTGTGGTGGGGGCTGGGCTCGCCCCACTGCTATCTGCAAAGGGCAGGGTGCTGAGAGAATTGGGGGGGGGGGGGGGGCAGAAACCTGAGTGATGGGGGGGGGGGGGAGGGGTTTGGTGTGGTCAGAGCTGCCGGGCGGAGGGGCACACACACTCACTGTGATGCTGAGGTGAGGCAGGGAGACCCCAGGGTCGGGGGGACCATGGGCTGGGTTTGGAGGGGAGGGGGTGTCAACGGGACGGGGACGGAGCGGGGGGGGGGGGGGACCCAGCGCCGGCGGGGGTGCAGGCCGCAGCGTGCCCGTTGCTAGGAGACGGGTTCCTCTGCGCATGCGCGCCGCCGGTCCTCCGCCTCCCCACAAGCCTTTGCGCGCCCGTGGCGGAGATGGCGGCGCTGAGCAGCGGCAGCGCGCCATGGCGGCGGGGTGAGGGGCCCCTTCCCGGGGGTCGGGTTGCTCCGGGGGGCGATGCCGGGAGGTGGGCTGGCGTGGGAGTGGGGAGGGAGAGCGTGCGTGGGGCCCGGGCTGTCTTTACCCGCTCCCCCCCCCCCCCCCCCCCCCGTGGGTTCGGGGCCCTGAGCGCCTTCCCTTCTGCGCTCCCTCCCCGCAGGCTGGCTGCCCTCCCTGCAGCTCGTCCGCCGCGGTTCCAAGGCGGTCACCCGGCACTGGAAAGCCATGCACTTCCAGCGCCAAAAACTGATGGCCGTGACCGAGTACCTGGCCCCGCGGCCGGCCGTCCCGCCGCGCTGCCTGGCCCCCAGGGAGAAAGCGCCCGAGGAGGTAATTTTGTGGCGTGTGGCCGCTGTGGAGTCACCGTGTCTGAGGAGACCGAGTGGCTTCGCACGCCTCGCGTGTCTGCTTTGCTCTGGGGATTTGACAGAGGCTCTGCAGCCCGCACCGGTTGCGGTACAGACCTCCAGGACAGCCCTGCCCCGGGGGGTAACCTGCCTGGGTGAGAAGACCTTTGTGGGGTGTTTACAGCCCTTTTTCATTATGTTGTGGGTGGCTGGGCGATGCCCCGGCTGGTAATCCAAGTGCTGGAAACCAGGTGAGTCGCGATCCGCGGCAGCGTCTCACGGCGGTAGGTCCTTTTGCAGGGTCAGAGCAGGGGGGAGGCAGCAGCCATCGTTCCCACCCCCTGCGACCCACCGCTGCTCCCTCCCCTCAGGACAACGGTTACGTCCGGCTGTTACGGCGGCAGGTGAAGGAGGTGTTCCGGGACAATCGGATGATCGCCGTGTGTCAGTACAACTCCATGCCCGATGAAGACATGGTGTTGATGAGGCACTACCTCCGGAAGCACAACATCCAGGTCAAGTTCGTCCTGAACGAGGTAGGGGCAGATCCCGTTGTGGTTGAAGAGGGAGGAGAATTGGGATGACCACGGGGTGAAAAGCTGCAATTTGAGACCTGTCTCCCCCCCGCCCCTCCAGATTGTCAGACCCGTGCTGTCCCAGTCCAAGTACAAGAATCTCCTCCCTCTCTTTGTGGCACGCAATATCCTGCTGGTGAGCCCGGAGGCGAAGGCAAAGGAGATGCTGCGGGTGCTGAAGGGAGTGCCGCAGGTCAACCTCCTGGGTGAGACCCTTCCCTGCATCCCCTTCTGCTGGTGCCGGGCTCGGGGCTCTCCTCTGGCTCTGGGGAGAGGAGCTCCTGTAAGGAGCTGAAGGAGTAAATGCCTCGGTAACAGCTCCCTCTGAAACGGAGCTGCATCTGCAGGATCGCTGTCGTGCCCATATTAAAACGAGGGGATGGATAGTGAGGGGTGGGAGTCCTGCTTGCAGGAACGAGCTTTTCCTCGTGCGCCTGTGGAAGATGAAAGGGCTCTCGCCCATCCTCAGCCCTGCTCTTCTCTTCCAGGCGCTTGCATCGACGACACCATCCTGAGCAGGCAGGGCGTGGAGAATTTCGCCAAGCTGCCCTCACTGGAGGCCACCCAGGGCCAAACGGTGGGTGCCCTGGCCCTCCTGCCTTCCCAGACATCCTCCCTGCTCCAGCGCGGCTCCGCTCACCTCACGGCTCTCCTGGACCAGCACATCTGCCAGCTGCAGGCTGGCGAGCCGGGGAGCCCAGCCGAGCCCACCGCTGCCCAAAACTCGGGGGCACAGTGACGCTGGCCCCCGCACCCCGTGTGTTGGCTGGGAATTGGCTCCTTTACCGGCCGCGGTCAGAGAAGGGGCGGGTCAGGGATCGAAGGTGTGCAGCCAGCGGCAGGACTGAGGGTCCTGCGGCATCACCGGCCCCTTTGGGGAGCCCCGGCCCTTCCCTTTGCTCCCCGCTACCCGCACCCCTGGCACTTGGGGACGTCCCAGCTGCGTTTTAGGCCCCGTGGTCGGCTGGGATCGAGCGGAGGAGGCCGAGTGCGGCGGCGTGGGAGGATGTCGGGTGCTCTGAGCCCCCTCACCCTCCAGAATGGGGGGGCAGCGAGGGGGATCCCGGCTCACCATCCTGTCCATTAAAGTGTGGTGGTGGAGATGCCGGAAGCCTCGTCTTGGATTTTGGGGGGGGTGGGGGGGGTGGGGGGTGCTGCCCCTCGAGGCCAGGGGGAGAAGCTGAGCGATGCTCTGGTGCTCTCCTAGAGCAGAGGGTGGAGCGGTGCTGGGGGTTGGAAATCTCGGGGGGTGGGGGGGAAGCCCCGGGACCCCCATGGCGTGGTGCTTCTCCCCAGGCTACCCCCTGCCAAACTAGGCGTGGGCAGAGCTCGTGGGTTGGCCGTTTTCCCGTGGGTTGGGTTTGGGGGGCAAGCGCACCCCCCCGGTACGGGAGAGGAGCCGTCCCACCGCCGGGGATCCGCGTGGAAGGGGGGGGGGGCGGTGTCCGGCTCTGTCCGTGATCGGGACGCGGATGGGTCAGGCTCGGGGGGGGGGGGATGGACACGGGGACCCCCGGTGCTGGCGGCTCCGGTCCTCCACGGTGCAGGGGGCAGAGCCGAGCGGCTCCGACCCGGCGCCTCCGCCTCCTTCCGTGTTCCGGTTCCTGCAGCCGCCGGGCAGGATGCGACCGGCCCCGGCTGCCCGCCCGCCGCCCGTCCAGGTGAGCACCGGGGACACCCCCCCCACCCCCCCAACCCGGGACCCCACGGCACAGCCCCTCCGCGCTCAGCAGCCGGATCCGGCTCCCTGCTGCTCCGGGGGGTTGACACCCCCGTGGGGCAGGCGGGGAAGGGGGACACGGGGATGGGCTTTACCCCACGCGGGGGTCGGGAGGAGGGGGGGTGCCGGGATGGGCTTTACCCCACGCAGGGGCGGGAAGCGGGGGGTGTCTGGCCGGGTTTTCCCCCGTGGCGTGCCCGGAGCGGGCAGGGGCTTTGTCCCCCCACCCCGGTGGGGGCTGCAGGCAGAGGAGGCGGCTGGGGACCCCCGGGGGGCATCGTCCCAGCCTCGCTGCCGTGCGGGGGGGGACACTCCACCCCCGCACCCCCCCCCCCCCCCCCCCCCCCGCTGCACCCAGGGCGGGGGTCCGGGGCCCCCCCGTCCTCCTCCCTGCTGAGATGGGGTGCACGGTGCTGTGGTTTTCAGTGTGGGGGCTTGGCCACCGTCCCGGGGTTACCCCAGGACCCGTCCTACAACCGCGGCTGGGTCACCTACCCGAGCAGGGGCAGAGCTGGAGGGGGGCTGGCAAGGCGGGGGGGGAAGCTTCCCCGTGCCTCAGTTTCCCCCCTTCTGTAATTTCGAAGGGCAAAGGGAACACCCTGCTGGGAGGGAATGTGGCCAGGTTGGGGGTTTGGGGGGGCTGTGTGGCTCAGGGGTGCCGGGATGGACCGGGGCTGATCCTGGCCTCTGTTCCCCGGGTCACCCTCCTGGCTGTGCCCACCGCGGGGTTCCCCCATGGCACCCCCAGTCCATGGGGTGACGGAGCAGGGCGGCGGGGCCGGACTCTGGACCTGCCAGACGGGCGGCGGAGGCGAGATAAAGCTGGGTGGGTCGAACGCTCCGTCTGGCACAGAAGCTTCTGGGTCCCGGCTGCAGTCACGTGCGAGGCTCCCCGCTCCTGGGGGGCCAGGAGGGTGTCCCCCCCGCAACCCTTGTCCGTGCGAGGGAAGGGATGAGAGTGTTTGGGCAAGGCACAAAAAACTGCGGGCAGGGTGGGTGATGCCCTCCCTGGGCTCCCTGACGTGGCGTCCCCTCCTCGCAGTGGCTCTCACCACCGTGACGGCTGAGCTCAGACCCCCCCAGCCCTGCAGCACGGACAGGAGGGGGGGTTTGGCTTGCTCCCCCGGTCCCCTCTGCTCGCCAACCATGGGCAGCCATGAGAAGGACCCATCCTCTCCGAAAAGGGCCCTCTCACGCTCCAACAGCACCGTGTCTTCCAAGCACAGCAGCGTTCAGCAGGTTGGGGGGCTCTGGGCTTGGAGGGGGGGGCGGGGAGGCTCAGCAGGATCCTTGGGGTGCATGCAGGCTGGCTTGGGGGTGCCATGGTGCCTCGAGGGGCTTCACCCCATTTTAAGAAGGGTGATACAGAGTTGCCCCATCCCCCTGGGGGCACCAAGTGTCCCTACTCAGGGATGAGGTGGGGAGCACCCCGATTGCTATTTGATGCTGAGGGACCCCGACGCTGCCCCCCATCCCCGCAGGGCTCAGAGAGCTGGGAGGTGGTGGAGGAGCCACGTGCGCGGGACGGCCCGGGCCAGGAGCCGCAGCAGCACGAGGGCTACCTGCTCAAGAAGAGGAAATGGCCCCTGAAGGGCTGGCACAAGGTAACGGGCAGAGCCCAGCACTGGGCAGTCCTGGGTGCCGTACCCACCTCTGGGGTGATTTGGGCCCTTGGATAGGGAGGTGCAGGGACCAGTCTCTGACATTCCCCCCACAACAATCATCCCCCCTCTGTCCCCAGAGATACTTTGTGCTGGAAAACGGCATCCTGAAATATGCCACCACGCGCCAGGACGTGAGTGTGGGGCCGGGCTGTGTCTGTGCAGCCTCCCTGTGGGCTTGGGGTGGGGGACACCCCGTGGCCCTCATGAGGAAGGGGGTCTTCCCCCTGACAGGGGTCCCTGGGCCCCCCCCAGGTCCTCAAGGGCAAACTACATGGAGCCATCGACATCCGTCAGTCCGTCATGTCCATCAACAAGAAGGCGCAGCGAGTTGACCTGGACACAGAGGAGAACATTTACCACCTCAAGGTGCTGGTGGGGGCTGTAGCCAGGACTGGGGGCTTTGAGTCACCCCCCCCTCCACCTGGGTCCCCCTCACCCCAACTTGCCCCTGTCCCACAGATCAAGTCCCCGGAGCTCTTTGCCAGCTGGGTGAGCAGCCTCTGCGCCCATCACCAGGGTGAGAGGCCTGATCCCTGCCCCAGGGGGGGTCCCACGGGGAGGACCCCCACCAACACGCAGGTGGGTGACACCTCGGGGTGACAACGCAAGGCAGTGTCTGGGTGTGGGGCTGCTGACGGCAGCCCCGGCGGTGCCCTTCTCCCCTGCTTCAGAGCCCGTGGACACGGATCCTGCCCTCGGGCAGTGCCCCTGCCCTCTCCACCCTCGCCAGCTCCCGGGACAAGGTGAACGCTTGGCTGAAGGACAGCGAGGGGCTGGAGCGCTGCTCGGCCGGTCAGCAGGGCGGGAGGGGATGCCTGGGGCTGGCGGGGTGGGGGGGGGATGCCCTGTCCCCCATCCCTGACTGGGCTCGCTCTGTGCCCGCCGCAGAACTGTCAGAGTGCCAGGCGAAGCTGCAGGAGCTGACCGACATGCTGCAGAGCCTGGAGGCCCTGCACCGCATCCCCTCGGCCCCCCTCATCTCCGGCAGCCAGGTGAGCGGGGCAGCGGCCCCCCCCCCCCCCCCCCCGCTGCTTCCCGGGGAGGGTCCATTTCCAGCCCCCTTCCTCTTGCTCGTAGCCCTCGGAGAGGCCCAAGAAGGGCAGGAGGACCACCAAGATCTGGTGCACCCAGAGCTTCGCCAAGGATGACACCATCGGCAGGGTGAGCGGGCGTCCCACCGAGTTCTGCCTGCCACTGCCTGGGGATGGACCCCCCAAGGGTCTCACTGACCCCCCATGTTCCCCCTCCCCCCAGGTGGGCCGCCTGCATGGCTCCGTCCCCAACCTCTCGCGCTACCTGGAGCCATCCCAGAGCCAGCTGCCCTTCAGCCTCCCCCCCGAATACAGCCAGCTGCAGAGGAGCTTCTGGGTCCTGGCTCAGAAAGGTGGGATGGAGCAGCGTGGGGGGGGGGGGGGGGGCTGAGCCCCTTTGGGGGTCCTAGTGGTGGCAGGGCAGGTGCTGGGGTGCCATGCCACAGCCTCACACACACACACACCCCCCACACCCCCCCGGCTCGTGTCTCCTGGCAGTGCACGGCTCGCTCAGCAGCGTGCTGGCCGCGCTGATGGCCGAGAGGACCCGTCTGGAGGAGATGCGGCAGGCGCTGGACCGGCGGCGCTCAGCCCCGCACCCGGGTGGTGCCGGCAACACCGGGGTGAGGGGCCGGGGGGGGGGTGCGGGGGGGGGGTGGGGCTGCCCCCAGCTTTAGGTCCTGCCAGGACCCCGGGGGGTTGTTGCTGGTGGGTGCAGCGAGTTGGCAGGGTCTCAGCTGGGTGATCCCCCCCCTCCCCATCAGCCTCACACTGGCTGGAGGGGGCGGGGGGGGGGGGGCTCAGCTCAGCCTCCCCTTGCGTCCGCAGGCTGCCCTGCGCCGCTTCCACTCCCTCTCCGTCTCCTCCGACACCACCTTGGATTCCTTTGCCTCGCTGCACCCTGACGAGGTCGGGGGGGGGCCAGTATGGGGTGGGGTGGCTCCCCCCCCTCCGCCCCCGGGAAGCGGGGAGTGCTGAGGTGGTGGCTGTCCCCACAGCCGGACTCGCTGCCAGCCAAGGGCCGGGAGCAGCAGCTCTCCAACCGCAGCATCGTCTCGCTGGCCGACTCGCACACCGAGTTCTTCGATGCCTGCGAGGTCTTCCTGTCCGCCAGCTCCTCCGAGAACGAGGTGGGGGGGGGGTTCGGGGGCGGGAGTGGCCGTGGGCAGGGAGGGAGAGGGGCTCTGCTGGCAGAGAAGTGGTGTCCCTGCAGACCCCCCCCCCCCACACTATTGCTGTGCGTTCACTTCTCCCTTCTCTTCCCTGTCCCCCTCCCCATTAGCCGGCCATGGAGCCACCCCCCCCTCCACTCCCTCTGTCCCCCCCAGTACCTCTATCTCCCCCCGGTCCCTGTGTCCCCCCCTGCATCCCCCCTGCTCCAGGTGCTTGGGGTCTCTGCAGCCTCTGAGCCCGGCGGTGGGTGCTGGGTGCTGCCGGTGCTCCCCCACTCCCCCCCATGCCCTGACCCCCCACTCCCAGCGAACCCAGGTTTCCTCCCATCCTCCCGGGAAGGGAGGGGAGGGTGACACTCAGACCGGCCCCCCCCTATCCCATCCCTTCCCGGGTCCCCCAAAACCGCCGACGGTCCCCCCCACACCTCCCCAGCCTTCGGACGACGAATCGTGCATCAGTGAAGCCACCACCAGCGCCTGCGAGGACGCGGCCGAACCGGGGGGGCCGGGTCGCGC